AAACCCTAAACCCTGGAACCCTAGAGAGCGCTTCTCCGGCCTGGCTGGTTTTGTTCTTTGCACCCCTGCAGTCCCGACACGTCAGGAGCAAGCACGCAGCTGCCAGCAAGTGACCTCGGAGTACTCGGAAACCCTAAACCCGAAACCCTAAACCCGTAAACCCCAAACCCTAAACCCCTAAACCCTAAACCCTAAACCGGCAATTCCCTTCTATAGGGTTCCTTGGGTCCCAGGGTCTGGGGATTCAGGGTTCAGGGTTTTGGGCTTGGGTTTTAGAGTTTAGTTCAGGGTTAGGGTTCAGGGTTTAGGGCTTGGGTTTTAGAGTTTAGGGTCAAGGTTCAGGGTTTAGGGCTTGGTTTTAGAGTTTATGGTTAGGGTTCAGGGTTTAGGGCTTGGGTTTGAGAGGCTAGGGTTTGGGCTGAGGGTTTAGAGCTTGGGTTTTAGAGTTCAGGGTTAGGGTTCACAGCTCAGGGCTTGGGGCTTTGGGGTTCGGGGTGGTGCACAGAGTCACTGAGACAGGCACCTGCTTGCCTCCATATTCTGCTGCAAACGCCTGCAGCAAAAGATGGCGAGACTGAGGACATTCACATGTGCAACGACGTCCCTAAACCCTAAGCCCTACGCTTCCTCTGAAGTTCTGTGGAATTCGCTTTTTTGGGGATCTTCTGAAAGGCATACGGATTCAAAATCCCCGACTATAAGCCTAAACCCCACCACCCAGAAACCCTAAACCCTTTCTGAGGAGCCCTAGAAAGCCGCTAAACCCTAAATCCTAAACCCTAAACCCTAAACCCTAAACCCTAAACCCTAAGCCCTAAACCCTAAACCAGCTCGTTCATGGACCCTAGGAAGCCGACGGCGTAACCCAGCCGACCTCTTTGGCGCCGCAGCGCGAGGCATCTCACAGGGCTGAGACGTTGAGTCTTGGGTTTAGGGCTTTAGGGTTCCAGGGTTTAGGGATTAGGGCTTAGGGTTTAGGGTTTTGTGTTTAGTGTTTAGGAGAATTGTTTAACACATTGGGAGGTTGGCTTCAGAGCTCAATTTCGTCTAAACCCTAAACCCTAAACCCTAAACCCTGATTGCGTATACAACTCCATCATGTGCTGACATTCAGAGGACAGCTGCCGGCCTGAACCGCAGCAGGTCCACTTGCGGTTGAAGCCCCTGCAGGACCTCATCCGCTCCCAGCGCTGCAACCTCGGAGGGTATCTGGGCTTTCAGCTGAAGAGGGGACTCCTTGTGAAGAAGACCCTAAGCCCTAAAAAACCCTAAAACCCTAAACAATCCCAACATCCCAAGGCTCTAAAAACCCAAAAGATCGGGCGCCTCCAGCACATCGTTGGGAGATAAAGATGCAATACAGTCAATCCTCTTCGGAAGCAGCGATGCCTCCAAAGCACTTGAGCTTTTGGGATGTTACATGTTTTGTTGAACGAACCTCTTCCTGTAATACGAGGGTTTAGAGTTAAGGGGGTTTAGAGTTTTAAGGTTTAGGGTTGAGTCTGGGTAGGTCAAGGGCGTTGGGTTTGGGGTTTCTCATGGAGCCTTAGCAACCAGAACAGGTTTCTTTTAAAGAGGGCTCTTTAAAGGGTTAGAAAGGCAGAGTTTCACAAATTCTTTAGTCAGAATTGGTGTATATAATGGCATAGGCATACGGGAACCTAAAAGGGGTTTAGAAACCCTAAACCCTAAACCCTAAACCCTAAACCCTAGCTTAAATTAGGGATCCTTCCACGACGTATCCCGACCCCTCGATTCTTTAGGGTCTCATGCTTTGGACTTGGAGCCCTTAACCCCTGAACTGTAAGAATCGGGCTCAAGGTTTAGGATTTTAGGGCTTCAGGGTTTAGGGTTTGAGGGTTGGTCACAAGGTTCAAAGGTTCAAAGAGCCTGCGAGACATTGGTCGGATAAGGAATCGCAGCGAAATGCACATCCTCCAGCCGCCCGAAATGCTTCAGAAGTGGTCTGATCACCTCGACAGCGGAGGCCTACGCACTTTGCTTCTTCAAACCCCCTGAACCCCACAAGGCCCAACACTACCCCAAGCGGTTGCCGTTTTTAAACGGCACCTCCTCCGGGAAGTTGAGGTCGCCCATGAGGAGGGTCGGGATCCTTCCGCAGTCCGCCTTGATCTCCGAGCTCAGGGCATCGCTGAACTCCCGACACGCAGGGCCGTAGGGCATCCCGGGCAGGTGCCTCAGAGTGGTGCTGTGACGCCGGCTTCCCACCAAAGTCACATTGTAGCTTAGCTCCATGGATGCACTGAGGAGATCTTATGACTAAGTATAAGCACTGTAACTCTACCTGCCATGGCTGCTATGATGTGCCCAGGCGCGTGGTGACTATCCGCAGCTGTTTGGTCGAAGCCTCGCCGCCGCCCTGCAGCTTGAAGCACGCCACCGCTATGACCTGCACAAGGGCTGAAGGCTCGTTGCTGTGGGTCTTTTAGGCTCTCGGGTTTTCGGTGTAGGCCTTAACCCACAAAGGTTTTAGTGCTGAGGGCTTAGAAAGACGGGGTTTAGCACTCGACTCATAGGATATGATTTCGAACTCGAAAACCCCCATGCAAAGGCTTCTCATCATTCAGGCATACCCCGGCTTTTGGGTACCTTACGTAGGGGTCCTTCCTAAACCCTAAACCCTAAACCCTAAACCCGAAACCCGAAACCCTAAACCCTAAACCTGATATGCACTATCCTCCGGTTAGGAATTCAGCCCTATCCGAAACACGCCAGGGCCTTATGCAGTGGAACAGGATTTTGGGCATAGCATACGAGAAATATGAAAAGGGAGGCTACGGATTAGGGTTTAGGGTTTAGGGTTTAGGGTTTAGGGCTTAGGGTTTAGGGCTTAGGGCTTAGGGTTTAGGGCTTTGGGCTTAGGGTTTAGGGTTTAGGGTTTAGCTTGTGAAAGTGTTGAGGCTTTGGCCTTCTTTGGGTCAGAAGGGTAGGGCTCCTGGAGGCAGCGGAAGTCGACTAAGTCCACGTGCGCGGAGTTGTAGACGATCGCCTGGAGGCCAGAGCTCTGGCAGACCCTGAGGTTTAGGGTTTCGAGTTTAGGGTTTATAGGGTTTATAGGGTTTATAGGGTTTAGGGCTTATAGGGTTTATAGGGTTTTTAGGGCTTATAGGGTTTATAGGGTTTTTAGGGCTTATAGGGTTTATAGGGTTTATAGGGTTTCGAGTTTAGGGTTTCGGGTTTAGGGTTTATAGGGTTTTTAGGGCTTATAGGGTTTATAGGGTTTTTAGGGTTTATAGGGTTTAGGGTTTAGGGTTTCGGGTTTAGGGTTTATAGGTTTATAGGGTTTATAGGGTGTATA